ATGTAATGTAAAATCATAGAGTAACTATCCAAAAATAGACCTTTGTACCAACCCACTCGTAGCAACCGCGACAAAATGTCTTACGCAAATAATAATTCAGCCGGCGTTAAAATAAGGGTGAATTTGGTGTAATAAAATTTTCTAGTTAACGAAGTGTGCTTGACACGGGGTACGCTGCGAATTCGGTCGCTCTAACAAGTTTAAACTCAATTTCCGCGCCCAAAACAAGTCATAAATCATAATGTTCACTTGTTTGGACTTACAAAATAGATATTTGAATCAACATAAGTTTGATCAAAGCTGAATATTTGTAACCTTCATTAACTTCGTTAGATTTTGTTTTGTTTACTGCAGTGGTTGTTATTTTTTAATTATTATTATTTACTTTTATGTTTAAGTTATTATTTATTATGGTGCACGTTCATGTGGTTGTAAAGCATAAAATGTAAAAATAATTTTTTATAATTGTCGCGATACATGACACATTGACATATGGCAGAAGTCAGATGACGCACATAGACGATCAACGAGTAAATCAACACAAATCCTACATCGAACACGTGGAGTTTACATACAAATGAACATGGATAGAAAATCCCAACGAACAACTGTTGGGTAGTAAGCCCGCTAGGCACGATCACCTCGCCTAGACGGAGAATCCTCCTTTTCGGATCTTAGGGAACTTTACTCTCTGTTCCCTAAATAATTAATAATAATACATACATACTTACAAGTAGAAAATAGTCAAAATAGAAAAAAAAACAATTACATCAATGGGTAAACATTGCTACTTATGCGCCATCTCTTGTAATATCGTGTAAATATGAAAGTTCTCGTCAAGTTGAGACCGTACATACATACACTCACGCCAGATTCCATTGGGAGTTGGTTAGCAAGCGTAGCAAGCATCACGTAGGTGCTACTATTTTTTCCAATTCAAATTATGTTCATAGACACAATTAACAAATAGATTGGTTCACTAGATCTTAAATCACATTTGGTTGTTAAATTTATAATGCATGCACGTACGTACATACATACGTATACTTAAATGTGGAAGCTTGTTATTACCAAAAAGTACTTGTGGCTCCTTACTTGACAGTCTCGTTTCCGACCTCTCAACCAAACGTTGTATCTTAAATCGTGATTCGGAACTGCAAGATCATTCAATTACAGTACATTAATCTAAATTAATGTACGAAAACTTTAGTTTTCCTTTCAAACCGTCGCGTCGGAGTAATGAAAGATAATAAATACCAGATTGAATTCGGAACTTATTCTGTCGTTTCTCGTTTCGAATCATTTTAATTAATGGTCGCCCTATTTTTGACTCCCTCTCAACAAGTTCTTTAAAGGAAGACGACCATAATTTGTCATTGTTCTGGGACATTTTATTAATTTTCGTGGTTATTCATGTCTGTTATTTGATGAAAATTGATGAGTTTGAGACTGGTATTTATGGGTCTATCTATTGATAGTCGTTTGTAAAAATATTCTATTTAAATTATTTATAGAAGAATAGTAAAGTTTGGCTACGTAGTTAGTGGATTACTGGATGTTGTAGCTTAAGATTGTCTCTGGTTAGATTTAGCACCGTTTCTGCGTGTGTTGAAATAGTTCTTTTTTGCAAAAAGACAATAAGTATTCTCAATTTATTACGTCCGACAATCAGTCAAGTGTGGGAGAGCCATGCTTCGGCGCGAATGGGCCGGCTCGAGTCGTCGGCCGGAGCTCGGCCGCTTTAGTGTTACATTGTTCTCGCACAATCCAAACAGCAAAACTATGTAACTAGTAAATTGTATTGTGAACCTGATTGAAAAAGAGTAACCTATGGAGTTTCTTGCTCGTTCTTCTCCATAAGAATCTACACCTTGAAATGAGCAAATAGCTTCACGTTAAATTTTTTTTGTTGACGTTCAAAAGTGCCATTCTGGCCTAATTGAAATAAATGATTTTGACTTTGACTTCGACCGAAGTGATACTACGGCCTCACAGAAGCCGATGTCGATGAGCAACGCCGATTGCTTACCATCAAGTGATCCGTCTGCTCGATTACCGGTTTATCCCATAATAAAAAAGTAAAGCCTAGCTATAGGTATCAAATCGAATAATGAAATTCATTTCTACTAAAAAGTCCAAAATGTAGGTCTATCATTTGTAAAAATACATAAAAATAAATATTTTATAAGTTACAGAATCGAGACAGTTACACAAAGTAAGTGACTTTCAACTAAAAGGTAGATGTTAATGTCAAGACATTTTGCATTTGTCTCAGCAAAAACAAGGCTAGATCTAAGTCATTTATTATTTATGACTAGGGACCACTGTTAGTAGAAAACAAATTTTGTAAAAGACTTACCTTTTATTAATGTATAATTTTACAGAAAACCTTTTAACTTACTAAGAAGATACGGGTCTCTTAAAATTATACCTTAAGTTATCTAAATAAACATTTCAAATTAATATAAGGTATTTGACTAAGGACCAAATTTTCAATGCGTTGTTACATTTTAAATGAGGAATACATTCAATATATCACAAATCTTCTATTCTAAAAAAACTTTCAACTGTCAATTTTATTCTACAGTTGAGAATTAACCGAATTGATTTTATTAAGTGTCGTAATTTGCACTTTTGCCTACCCCCTTCGGGGATTAAAGGCTAAAGTGATGTTAGGTTATTTTTTGTTGTTGTTAACTGATGATTGAAAAATCGACACAAAGACAAGCAGTAAACATTTTGCCTGTTCTCAATTTAACATAAGGTGAGTATTTCAAAATCTGAATCAAATAGTACGAAAACGTGACCTACATTCTTCTCATAAATTCTTCTAATAAATTCCATAGGTACCTACATTCTTCTGATAAATTCTTTACGGTCTAACTCGCCCTCCAGACTTGCAGATTGTAGGAAATCCTCCAAGGTAGAGGAGGCTCATAGACCAGTCCAGTATACAGACACGAACTGTTGATTTAGATACATAATATAACATCACGCCTTTTATCCCCGAAGGGGTAAGCATGGCACATTACGACTTTTTTATGCCACTGTATAATAAAACACCCACTTTCCACTATTTATGTTATTAGTCCCATGTAATAGTCCCATATTGCCATATACTGAGCACAATTTCAGATTGTGTGATACTACTGAGATTTTTTTTAAAACCTTGTAACATATTGCCCAAGAAACCAAGTACAATTCACGTGTTAAAGAAAGGTATAGGCATCTACTTACCTACCTACTTATATCTATAAATTTTTCACTGGTTCCAGTATTATGGTCGTTCAATATACCTTTTTCGATAGCCCTCAGCATAATAGGAGGACCGTTCTAAAGGTCTGAGCCCTCTCACAGCCCTCTACAAACGTCTATGACGGACAGAGAGACAGCGAATCTTTTAAAAAACATTGGAATAAAAATATTTTCAAATACAAGGTCACAGGCTGCATAATTTGATGTTATTGGCAAAATAGGCCACAATACTAAACTGTACTGTGTCTGCCTCCTTAGACCAGTGACTTGTGAAGTACACGGGGTTCAATTCAGGGATTGGGAACAATATTTCTGATTTTTATTGAAGAATCTCAGTTACAGCATAGTAGTACCTACACAACTTTGTATAGAGTATGAAGATATAAGAATGTTGTGTTTTTATAATAACTATCGTGATATATACTAATTTAAGTAAAAACGCGGGTTACTCACGTGAATATACTGAGAAAAGCTCTACTAGTTTCGAACCACAGAGGGGTTCTTCCTCATGAGCAGCGTGCGCGCTCGCGGCGACGTCGAGTGAGCTGCGCGGGTTTTAGTTAAACAGAATGTTATTTAAAAAATGATTATTTTCTACTAAATGCAACAAACAGTTTTCTGAAAACCGGATCAAATGGCTCATTCAGTTGCGAGATAATCGCGCACTTTCAAAGTCAAAATCATTTATTTCAATTAGACCAGAAAGGCACCTTTGAACGTCAACAAAAAAATTACATGTCAAGCTATTTGCTCATTCCAAGGTGCAGATTTCTATGGAGAAGAACGAGCAAGAAACTCCATAGGTTTTTTTTTTTAATCAGGTTCACAATACAATTCTCTAGTTACCTACATAGTTGTGTTGTTTGGATTGTGCGAAAACAATGTAACATTAAAATCCAGTCAAAGAGATCGAATCGATCGACAGTAAATAATATACA